TTACTCAGGACCCCCGCTCCCGCCTGAGACTTCCGCGCTATTTACTCAGGAAAGGCGCTCCCGTCTGAGACTTCCTCGCAATGTAATCAAGACCCCCGCTCCCGCCGTAGACTTCCGTGCAATTTACATGGGAACGGCGCTCCCGCCTGAGACTTCTTCGAATTTTACCCAGGATCCCCGCTCCTGCCTGACATTTCCGCGCGATTGACTCAGGAACGGCGCTCCCGCCTGAGACTTCCTCGCAATTTAGTGAGGACCCCCACTCCCGCCTGAGACTTCCGTGCAATTTGCTCAGGAACGGCGCTCCCGCTTAAGACTTCCTCGCAACTTAGTCAGGGCCCCCGCTTCTGCTTGAGATTTCCTCACAATGTACTCAGGACTGCGCTCTCGCGTGCGACGTCCTCACAAATTATTATGGAATTGCGTTTCGGCGCTCAGGAACCACGCGCGCGCCAAGGACGCCTTCACAACGTGGTATCTTCCCTCTTCCTTCGTCCTTCCCCCTCCCCTTCCTCCCACTCTCCCTCGTTCTTCCCCTCCTCCTCTTGCAGGGCCCGCGCCAATTCCAATGGCGGGCAGAGAGATGTACGCCCCCGAAGGATTGTCCGCCCGTTCCAGTTTGCCCGTACGTCTAAGCCCGCCGGCCCCAGCAAAGAGAAATAATCCCCCCGAAAGGGGTGTGATCGAAGACGAAGAGGGCGGGTCTCGAGGGTGTAGGGTATACGTGTTGAATGACTCGCGGGCAAGTAAGAGCGTACAGCCTTAAAATGGTTGTTGTTGTTGTTGTTGTTGTTGTTGTTGTTGTTGTTGTTGTTGTTGTTCAGTAGGGCGTTGACACCGGCCACGGCTTGTTGTTGAGATCTTCTTCTTCTCTCAGAACTCAAGTACTTATCCTTAGTGGTAAGCAAAGCTCCAGCGACCGAGGGCTTGCCGCACGGGGCTGGCGAAGGGGTTGGCACTGGGGCGGCAGCGCAAGGTGCCCCACGGGGCCGGAGAAGGGGTCGGCATCCCTGGCGCGTTTCCAAAGGTTTCCCCCGGATTTATGCGAATCCCTTAGGATTCCTTTGGATTTATGAGGACTCCTCCAGACTCTCTAGGATCTCCAAAACTTATCCCGACAAAGCAACCTAACAGCGATGTGTAGGAGCATATCTGGAAGCATTTCCCTTAATATTCAAATGAGAATCCAGTTGTAGAATTCTGCTGTTCTCGAAGTCGTAGTAGCATTCGCGATGACAGTCGCAGTGGCAACGGCCTCCACAATAACGAAGTCTGGCGGGCCAAGCTTCCACTCGAGACTGCCTCCATGTTCAGGCCTCAGAAGTCCCCCCAAAACGTCTGATATGATGATGATGATGATGATGACGACGACGACGGCGACGACGACGACGACGACGACGACGACGATGATGATGATGATGATGGTGATGATGATGATGATGATGATGATGATGATGATGATGATGATGATGATGATGATGATCCCCCCTCAGCGGGCACCGTGCGCTGCACAGGAGCCGCCCCGCGGCCGCGGCCGCCGCGCCGAAGCCTCAGCCCCGGCCCGCCGCGCCCCCGCCCCGCCCCTCGCGGGAGCGGCTCCGCGCCCGTCCACAGGCTTGCAGCCGCACCGGGGAGCCGAGCCTGCCACTCTTGCTCGGGTGCAGGCCTCGGCGGAGGCGCCTCAGCACCTCGGCCTGTCGACCCTCCACGCGCCAGCCGGGGACCCGGCGGGCGGGGCACTCCTGCGCGAGGCCCATGATGCGGGCCGAGCCCGCGTTGGCGCCGCACACGTTGCAGAAGACGTGGCTGCCGCACCTCATCAGGACGTGCGAGTCGTGCAGCTCGGCGTTCCACCACGCTGGCGGCGCCTCGCTGCCCCCCACGGCTGGCGCGAGCGCGGAAGGGGCTGAGGCAGGCTGCCCGCGACCGCCACCTCGGCCCCTGCCGTGTCCGCGGCCACGGCCTCGCCGCGCTGGCCCAGGCGAGGCGGGGGGTGATGATGATGATGATGATGATGATGATGATGATGATGATGATGATGATGATGATGATGATGCTGATGCTGATGCTGATGCTGATTCTGATGATGATATTCGTGCTGCTGGTGATGCTGATGACGATAGTGATGCTGATGATTATGATGATGATGGTGATGCTGCTGCTGATGCTGCTGATGATGATGATGATGACAACGCCGGCGGCGGCAGTGACAGTGAGCCCTGTGCCAAATGGTCAGGAAGCATTGTCAATCTTCGTCCACATTCTCTTCGTACCCACTTCGGTCGTACCAGTGGAGGGGGAGGAAGAGAAGGAGGAGGAGGAAGAGGTCCCAAGCATCGACGCAAGCACTGGCGCCCGCATCTACGCCAACATCGACGATCGCATCGAGAACACGACCCACTCCAGCATTGGAACCTGCATCCATGCCACCATCGACACCGCCACCGACCCCAGCACCAGAACCCGCCCTCACGACAACACCGAAGCCAACATCTACGCCAGCACCGAGTACAACACCGACTCCAGCACAGGAGCCTGCATCGACGCCCGCACTTACGCCAGCATCGGCCCCAGTATCGACGACCGCACCTCTGCCACTCGCGCTAGCATCGACACCAGCACCGAAGACAGCATCGACTCTAGCACGGGTGCCCGAATCGTCGTCCGCATCGACGCCAGCATCGATCCAGCACCGACGCCAAATGACTACCAGGGTGGTGAAGGCCGTGGCCGAAGAGGAGGTGCATGGGGGCGATGGAGGAGGATCAGCGCCACTGGCACCATGGGCAGCGCCAGCACCGAAGATAGCCTCGACACCAGCACGAGAGACCCGCCGCTGCCGTCGCAGGTCGATCCCGCCGCCGCCACACAGTATCAACTTTAGCAACAACGCCAATACCTCCGCCAGCATCGACCCGCGAATGGGCGCTCGCATCGACGCAATCACAGGAGCCTGCACAGACGTCCACACCGATGCCAGCCAGCATCAACACCATCACCGACCTCAGCAGCGAAGACAGTATCGACGGCAGCAACGACGCCAGAATCAACGTCGGCATCGAAACCGACACCGACGCCAGCATCTTCCAAAGTGCTGACCTCAGCATTGGTTCCATCATCCGCATCAACATCGAGGACAGCGTCGACCCCAACATCAGTGCAAGCGCCGACGTCAGCACCGGCACGAGCACTGCCCCATGAACGCCAGCAATGACGCCAGTACCGACAAGAACATCGGAACCACCATCGACTGCAGCATCGGCACCAGCAGCGACGCCAGCATCGACGCTGGCATCGACTGTAGCACCGAAACCAGCATCGACGCCAGCGCCGACGTCAACATCGACGCCAGTGGCGACGCCAGCAACGGCACCCGCACCGAAGTCAGCACTGACCCGAATACCGCAGCCAGCACTAGCGCCAGCACAGACGCCAGTACTGACCAAAACACCGACGCCAGTGCCGACCCAAACACCGACGCCAGCACCAACCGCAACATCAACACCGTCATCCAAGATGGCACGGCCTCCAGCACTGGGGCCAGCACCTACGTCATCTACGTTATCACAAACACCAGCTTTGACTCCAGCATGGCCTCCGAGCCTGGTACGACTGCTGGCTTCCGACGCTCCACACCGACGGACGAGCAGCAGCACCAGGGGCTGTGGACACCAGCACCATGACGGCGCCCCACTCCGCCCCCCATCAGACGACCCATCCAGCGACCAACAACAGCAGCAGCACCACGTGCACCGCGACTCCGACCAGCAGCGACGCCAAAACTGCAACCAGCGGCACTGCCACCAAGCCGGAGACCAGCACTTCCACGAGGTGAATGGCCTGGGCTGCGACCAGCAACGCGGCAGCGTCTAACGCCCTGCCCGCACCCCCGCCCCCTGGTCAGCGCAGCTCTCGGCTCCCTGGGGCGAGGACGAGGCCCCCCTCACACAGTGACGGAGCTCAGGGCGGTGCAAGGGCTGCGCGGCATGCCCGGCAGCACCCTTCCGCCCACCCACCCCACCACCCGACGCCTTCCCACACCATCGCTCCCTCGGCACGGGCGCCCGGGAGATCGACTCCCCCTATCGTCCTCTCCCCCTCGAAGGTGGGCATGCCGCCCTTCCACAGGGGGAGGGGGCCAGCGGCCCTCGGGGGGGAGCTGAGCTGGGCCCGCCGCGGCCGGGAGGGAGGGCGGGGTACGGAGAGAGAGAGAGAGAGAGGGAGAGAGAGAGAGAGAGCACCAGGAGGTGTGGAGGCTCAGGAGACCCGCGGCGCGCAGCGCGCCCGACACCAGGGGCAACCCCGTGCACGGAAAGGCCCACTCTGCCCCCCCCCCCCCTTCTCTTCCCCCTCCCCCTGCCTCGGCCGCCTCTCCCCCCTCCCCCTCCCTGCTACTGGGGGGCTTTGTCGGCCTCTCTGTGTTTGGGGGGAGGGCCTCCTTCCCCTCCTCCCGCCGTCCTCGTTCGTGCTTCGGCTCGGGCCCCTTTCGTCCCCCCCCTCTCGGCCCCTCGCCTCGCCTTCCTGCCATCGTCTGCCCCCGCGCCGCCAGGCGCCACACTGCTTACAGATGTTCTAAAGTGTGTCAGCCCCCCTTAGAGGCAACGGCCCCTGGGGGGGGGGGAAGCAGCCTCCGACGGATTCTCACGCCATCAGGAAGCACGAACCAGGAGGAGGAGGAGGAGGAGGAGGAGGAGGAGGAGGAGGAGGAGGAGGAGGAGGAGGAGAATGAGGAGGAAGAGGAGGAAGAGGGGGAGCCCAGCGTAGAGAGGGAGAGTGCATCCACCACCTAGGCCGACCCCCCAGCGGAGGGTGGCGAGGGAGCGGGCGGCGCGCCTGGCTGGAACTCCGCGGAGGCGGAGGAGACGGAAGAGGAGGAGGGAGGAAGAGGAAGAGGAAGACGGAGGAGGAGGAGGAGGAGGAGACGGAAGAGGAGGAAGAGGAGGAGGAAGGGGAGGAGGGGTGGCGACGAGGAGGAGCCGAGCGACCTGCGGCCCCATGGCCTTCCGTCCTGTGGCACGCCGTCCCCCTGGAGGAGCAGCACCCCGTAGGTGTACAGCGCCTCCGCGTCGCCCTCGCCCGCGCCCGCCTCTTCGGGTGGCGGCGCGGGGCCAGGGGGCCCTCTCGGAGGATATCCCGTGCCGAGGGGCGCTGGCCTCCTCGAGCTGCCCCCCCGCCCCCCCCCCCACACCCCTCGTCCCCAGGAGGCCTTTCCTCCCTCTCCTTCTTCTCCTCCTCCCCCTCCTTCGCCCTCCTCCTCCTTCTCCTCCTCCCCTCCTCCTCCTCCTCCTCCTCCTCCTCTTCCTCCTCCTCCTCCTCCTCCTCCTCCTCCCCTTTGCGGAGGGATGCGAACGAAGAGCAGACGTGCCGCAGGCTCTGGAGCTCAGGCAGCGCCGCTCGGACTGAGACGCCGACCACAAACAACCGATCAACTCTGGGCCCCGCCGGCGCCACGCTGACGCCATCCGCGGGGGTGTACGAGCCAGCGCGCGACAACGTCTAAGCAGTGGACCCAAACCCCCGACATCGTGATGTTTTTCATCGCGTGGGATCAGGATGTCCCGACGCATTCGTGGGGACCAGCTTATCATCCTGAGCTGTGTTTTTTGACGGCCCTGGCTGATAGCCTTGAGGCCCAGAAGGGCCCCCAGACACATAAACACATCAGCATATCTCCCGTTATGGTGTTTGTCGTGGTGGGAGGGGGTCTGAGAAGTCTGAAGAAGAATGGGCGCGGGCAAGCAGACGTTCGGCGGTGCGCCAAGGGGGGAAGTGAGAGGGGACATGCCTGATCAGAAGGCGGCGGGGCTTCTCAGAAGCCCCGCCGCCTCCTGAGAAGCCGTCTGCCTTCAGAGAAGGCTTAGGTCGCTGCACAAAAGCCTGAAGGTCTTCGAGCCTTCTGAGAAGGCCCGCCCCCTCTGCCTTCCCCCTGAGCGTGCCTACGATTCACGACGCGAGGAGGTCTGGAGTCTGGGAAGCCTTCAGAATAATTAGGCGCGGCCAAACAGACTTGGAAGGAGGACGTGGGCACAACCGTCGAGCGCTCACAACAATCTTGCCTCGGCCACAGCCGCAGGAGGCATGGGCGAGGGATGCCGCCGGCTCCAGAGACAGGCTGGTGCTACACGAGAGAACACAGCCATGGTGCTGCCATCAATTGCGTGGACTAGGGAACGAAGGGTGTTTTCTCTAGCCACGGCGAGCCTCCGCCACGAACAAGGTCTCCGACCTTGAGCCCCAAAAAATCAGAGCCCCTTCTGAGCCCCCAAAAAACAATCTTCTCTCAGTTTCGTGACTGCGGCCGAGTGCCCTCACTCTCAACGGGCCGAGGAGCTGAGACTGCACGTCGACCGCGCGACGCCGCCAGGCCGGTGATCCGATCCTGGGCCCCCCCCCCCCTCCGGGCCCTGCAGCTGCCCTGCCGCCACCGCAGGCCTGGAGGGCCCCAGCCGAGAAGGCACTGCGAGGGCCGATCCGGGCACACCCCGAGCTCCGCCGCAGGCGCCCCGAGGGGCTCGCCGCCCCCACCCCGCAGTTGGCCACGCGCATCGGGGGGGGCAGGGGGGAGGGGGGAAGGCTTCTCAGGAGGCTGCTCCTTGGAAGGCGCCGGCCCTGCATCTGCAGACAAGGCCCGCGCCTGTCAAAAAGCAGGGGTGCTTCTGAGGAGCCCTCCCCCCTCCCTCCCCCCTTTCCCCATCTATCCCCCTCCATCCCCCTCTGCGCGTGGCCGAGGCTCCCCATCTATCCCCCTCTATCCCCCTCTGCGCCTGGCCCATCTATCCCCCTCTATCCCCCTCTATCCCCCTCTATCCCCCTCTATCCCTCCTCCCCCTTTCCCCCTCCTGTCCCCCTCTGCGCGTGGCCGAGGCGTCCCCGCATTGATTCTTCTTGCGGACGCCGGCTGCGCGCCGAGAGCGCTGCAAGACACGGCGCGCTGCGCCGACGGGGCGAGGCGGATCCGCGTCGGGGACTCGGGAGCAGTCGGCACCGGTGGGCGGCCAGCGAGGGGGGGAAAAGGAGAAGGACAAAGCCTTCTCTGGGAGGCCCGGAAATTGGCACCAACACCAACACAGGGGGTTGCCTCCACAGGGGGAAGATGACCTCGATTTCGGTGTTGGTGGTAATATTTCGGTCACTTTGGAAGCCAGAGTATTACCACCATCGCTGAGATCGGGATCCTCTTCCCTCGGTGGAGGCACACCGCCGAAATTGGTGTTGGTGTCAACCTCTAGGCCTGCGATTCTCAGAAGGATCGGAAGTCCTCCGGCCTTCTGAGAGGTTTCCTGAGCCTTCCCTGGGGACACCAACAACAACTCCTCAGACGGCGCGGGGGCTTCTGAGAAGCCCCGCCGCCTTCTGAGAGGGTCTTCTCCTTCTCGCTTCCCCCCCTCGCTCGCAGCCGAACCAGGTCGGGAAATCGGATCGAGCCGGCAGGTGCGACGGATTGGCACGCAGTCGGAATCAAACTGGATCGGCAACGCCAGGATGCACAGCACCGCCACGCGAGCAAACACCAGGCGGCATCGGATTCCCGGGGCTCTCCCTGGGATCACTTTCTCATCCCGGTTTATTCGATGATCCCCAGAACGTGCGTTAGCGCCAGCGTGTGCTGATCCAACGAAGCCCTTTAGTACCGCGAAGGTGGTGTAACAATGGCTGGCACAGGCCGAACGTGGTAAAACACACACACACATACATCGGGCTGACACACATTCTGGGCACCATCGCCTTACTTGAAGGCCCAAAGAGGCCCAGCGAGGGCCCCAAGAGCCCGACAACGGCGAACAGACTCCAAAACTCCTTGC